TGGTTTATTAGTATCGAAATCAATTTTGTTCATATACATTTTAATCAGAACAGGCGGATTTGATTATCTAGAATTTAATTAAATTAAAACAAAATTAAAATATGTCTCCTCTTTGTATTTTTGATAGTTATAATAGTTTATATTTAATTGTGTATGTATTTATGAACTTACAAAAATTGACTATTCAAATTAACCTGTGCCTTCAAATTACCTACCTCTTAAAACGTCTTAAATTAGTTGATTTCAGTTGTGTCATGAACTTGCGTCTGAAGGCGGCACTTCACATGGCTGTTCGCATTCGCTATTGTTGTATTTGGAAAAATATTAGACTTATGACAAACACGCAACTACTGACAAATATGATCAGTTACATACGAAGCCAAATAAGGAGTTAAATAATGAATATGACCACAATGTGAATAGTTTACTTACATATTTGCCTATTTAACCCCTTTAATGTGCGTCGAGAAACCGACTAGCGCGCGGTAACGCGTGTTTTGTGTTTGCTGTATTTGTCGCATAGGCAAACAAGGCAAATATTTTGCTACACGCTACCTCCACGTGGTAATTGTTTGCCAAATATGTCAAATATGTAAATACAGATAGCAGTGTGAAGTGCCACCATAAGAGGGTTTGTAACATCTGAACCCGGGGTCGGTTTAAAGTTGCAACGGAACTCAAATGAGCCCTAATACGAGTATAATGTAACCCCGGGACTGGTTGCTTGTCAAAAATAATTGAATTTGTGTAGTATCCAATCCCGGGGTTCTGTTGCACCTCGAGAGATAACATTAAATTTGTATTGTCTATACCCGAAGTCATTTTCGATAGAAGTTGGTACATTTTGTTGCTTTAAGGGGTAGGGAGCTTGTTTCCGAACACAATTCCGATGAAATAATTTTAGCGAATAGGAAGCGGTAGATCGCGACGACCATTTTAAACTTTCATTAACAGACAAACCCCCACAAAATACTCACTTGCAATAATCACTCAAAACTAAAGCAAGCTGTTAGATACTGACAAGTGGAATGTAAAACTTTCCAGTTTTCATATTTTTTTGACAAGTTTTAAAATTGTATTAATGTGATATTAATGTCACTTAGACATTTTGAAGTCATTTATTACGTGTAAGAAAGTACAGATCAAACTACTTACTGTACATTAAGACATTCAAATAAAATAATTTGCGTTGCTATAAAAACTTACAAGTAGGTAACATGCGTGGGAAGCCAAGCTCTTCAGACTATTTAGAACAAACTTATTCATTCAGTTAGGCATGTTGTTTAAAAGAAGATAATTAGTCGTTCTTTTATATGACCATTGTTGAAAACGACCCTTTAAGAAAGAATTTGCCGTATGAAAATCTACAATCTTATGTAACTTTTATATAAATATTCTTATAAATGTCATATTTCTGCACGATGGATAAAAAGCACCAATCGATACAAATTCAATTTATACACCGGTAAATGTAAATTGGTAATCTATACGTGCACGATTTTATATTGAGTTATTTGTTTTACGTCGGATTTTGATCGATCATTGGTGGTTAGATTTCTTCTATTTTTATATTGAATCATCTGTTGTAGCACGCGCCTGGTTTTGAGTACGAAGTTCCAATGTTGAGATCATGGTCAAATCAAATCTATTCACGATATGCTTTGTTGGCTGGTGGCATAGGACCATACGCCGCCTGCGGCACTCTATAAGACCTAATTCAGTCAATTTACCAATGGCAATAATGCATGCCTGTCTTTGTCGATTTTGTTGTATGCAAACATCAATTTTGTGTTTGTATTCTGTGACAACAGCGTTCCGATTGGCCAGCCCGAATTCAAAACAATTGACGGGTGTATGCAAACATCAACTTTGTGCATACACATCGAGTACATAACCAGAAACAGAGACGAAATGTCATTTAATTTGTTTGAAAACTATTCTGCCAAATCATTGCTGCGACAACAGCGTTCCGATTGGCCAGCCCGAATCCGAAACAATTGACGGGTGTAGTTAATTGTTTCGAACTCGGTGAAACATCTTCGACATATAGGTTTGCTCACAGTGTTTTGCGTCATAGTTACCGAGAGGTATTGGTACTGAGTATGTAATTTAGGAATTAATGTCATATATTTTGGGATTCTATTAGAACTTTTACTCACTCTAAAAGGCAAAACCATGCATCATCTGAATTAAGAAGGATCAAAGAAAGCACAACTGATTCGGTGAACCATTGTAACGAATTCTTCGCGAATGTAGGAAAAAGGCTTGCAGACAAAATACTGACCTCCACTCAGGAGACACAGGAATCACTTGCAGCCAAAGTGAAACTTAAAGCATCGCCTCTTAACTCCTTTTTCATGCTGCCAACAGATGAGGCGGAGATACTTTCTCTAATTGACGGTATGAGGCTTGACGGCGCCCCAGGCCAAAATGGTATCAAAAAAAATTACTAAAAACAATCTTCTCGTGCCACTTGCTTACATTTGTAATCTTAGCCTAACAGAAGGGATCTTTCCTACTGAGTGGAAGTCTGCGACTGTGATCCCGATTTTTAAAGCTGGGAATAAATATGATCCCAATAACTACAGACCAATTTCCCTATTAAGTTGCTTCTCCAAGATTCTAGAAAAACTAGTTACGGCGTCTTGTTGATTTTCTAGAAAAAAATAAATTAATATCTGACCGACAGTTCGGCTTTAGACGCGGAAAATCCGCTCAGGATGCGGTCTCCTTGCTTACTAACATAATATCGGATCACCTGGACAGCAAGAAGGCCTGTATGGGGGTTTTTCTCGATTTGGCGAAGGCCTTCGATACCGTGTCCATACCCATTCTTGTTCGAAAGTTGGAATCTTTTGGTGTTCGTGGCATCGCACTCGACTGGTTTCATAGCTATCTGTATGGTCGTTCCCAAAGCACAAGAATTGTAAATCAATTAAGCAATCCCATGCCCATTGACTTTGGGGTGTCTCAAGGGAGTGTGCTGGGCCCCACCCTTTTTACTGTGTACATAAATGATATCCTCTTTGTTCTGGACCACACTGACACCGTCTGCTATGCAGACGATACCGCCATTATTTTCCGTGGTCCTAATTGGTCCAATGTATATCGTTTGGTCGAGTGCGGTATGTCGCGGATAGCTGCTTGGCTTCGTGGCAATCTCTTGACGCTAAACTTGACGAAAACCCATTTTTTGTGTTTCCATAAGACAAGTGCCTCTGCTCCTTTGTACTCCCCTGAAATCCTGGTTCATTCTTGCGACCCTGAAAAGCGAGCGTCTTGCAAGTGTCAAAGCATCAGCCGGGCTGCAAATGTAAAATATCTTGGCGTAGTTATAGATCAGAGGCTCACCTTCGGAGACCACTTGGTTACTACCGCCAAAAGAGTACGTAAATTAATATACTTTTTTAGGAATCTCCGTGCGGCGGCCGACATAAGATTACTGGGGATGATATACAAGGCTCTATGCCAATCCATTATTACCTATTGTATCACTGTTTGGGGTGGCGCTGGAAAGCAAAACATGTTGTTGATTGAGAGGGCACAACGATCCGTTCTGAAAGTAATGATGAAAAAACCCATCAAATATCCAACTACTGCTCTATACGAGGAGTGTGGGGTCCTATCGGTTCGCGGTCTCTTTCTACTCGGAGTTATGGTTCTGGTGCATCGTGAAGTGACTTCTTCCTAATTATTGTAAGTTACTCGAAAATAGGCTTTTCAAACTTCATCTACCAGCTATAAACTCCACCTTCGCTAGAAGATTTCCAAAATTCATGCATCCGTATATATACAATAGAGTTAACGCCTTGCACAGCGTCAAGCTCTGCCCAAATTCGGAACTTAAGCATAGGGTCAATAAGTTGCTACGCACGTTGACATACAATGAAATAGAGGACTTGCTAAAGGAGGTGCGCTAGTTCACTGCCTCAATCCTTAATCCATACACGTGCACGCACGCACACACCCACCGACTCACATGCACGCACGCACGCACACACACACGCACGCACGCACCCTCGCACACACACATACACACACACAATGCCATAAAGACACGCACTCATCCTATATAAATGTATATATAAGGTAATTGGTATTGAATTAAGAATAGAATGAATATTATACATTATACAATATATATATATATATATATATATATATATAATCTAATATAATAATATACAAATATGATAAGATAAAATAAAATAATGTATTATATAATAATAATAATTTTTGATAATATGTTTGTTTGATAATGTGTTTAATAATATGTACAATTTAAAAAAAAAAAAAAAAACTTTTTAGTAATAATAAACAGTAACAATGTTTTTATCGATTACCTGCGAGACAGGCTTTGCCTAGTGCAGGAATCGTAGGAAATTCTCTGTACGCGATATACGCTACAATTGAGTTGTGTTACCTGGTTCTTTGTCGTAACTAAATTGTAATGTGCCTGCACAAGTTCATTTGTAAATAAATTATTTTGTATTTTTGTATTTTGTATGTAACATGTCGCTACAGAGATTCGAGCTATCGACCTTTAAATGAAAAGTAGTTCATCATGAAAAAACGTAATAAACAAACCCAAACAAATTGATTTATATTCAATTGGTTTTTTTATGATACCAATTGCGAGACGAACAAGTCGTGCGCCTGGTAGTAAGCGATACACCTGTTCATAACATATGCAGTGCCTCTCAGAGGCACTGCCACTGCGCCCGTCACACTGAGACTTATGTTGAAAAGTCCGAAATGCTTGTAATTTGACCAGAACGTACAGAGGCTCATCAGTAATCCTCGCAAATATTCTGTTAATGATTAAGAACACTAAAATTAACAAACGCGAACAACCGCATACCAGAGCAAAACCGATACTTAGAAAGTACAATTTAAAAATAAAAATGTTAAAATATTAAATTTCATTTAGAGTATAAAAACTGTCGATATTGTTGTAGACACTAATAGGCATTTTTTTTTTTTCAGATTTGCAACCATCCCACCAGACACATGCAACAACAAACATGGCAGGCGTGACATAAGCGAAATGGCTAGCTAGCACCTGTTTAACTATACCTTTAAACAATTCAATCAATTGACATACACAGTATATATTTTTAAACAGTAGTGACAGTGCGTGACTTCAATGTTGCCAAACATTTTGTGTTTGTGTACGGTGTGTGAAAAACAGTGACAAAATGAAGTTTCATCGATCTGTACTTTTCTTTGTACTGTGAGTATGAATGTTATAAATTTTATTCGTTTACTATTTTCGTTTAGTTCATTTTAATTTCAACAGTATCTAAGAAAAAAATATATAGAGTATGGTAGACCCAAGAGCTTGCAGCTCAACGCTTCTATTCATGCAAATACATAGTTCTGCCAGTGTTTTGGGCTAAGTTGATGCTATTTCACCTATTTTAAACTGGACCTAACTTCATTAATTACTTTATGGGTTTGTAAAGTTTTTTGATTTGAATCTCTTTGTTACTTTTGTAACAAGTAAGCACTTTTGATTTTGTTCTCAAAAATATTATGAAAACCCGTGAACTTGCATTGAGGAATAATAGATTCTGATTCAATTAAATACAAACATTACAATTGGTTAACAAAAAGCTTTAATAAAAAAATCTATAAATATAGAAATATTTATAGATGTTGTAGTAGTGTCATCACTACTACAACCAAAGTAATTTCAATTGACTTAACATTGCCGTCCTTAAAAGCTATCAGTTTTGAAATTTTGTGTGACGAGAATCGTAATTGACTATTATGTGACAGTACAGCATAAGCAACATAAATATGAAAAACATTGTCTTGAAATTGTTTCAAATTACTTTTACGAACGACATAACAAATAGATAACCATATGTATTATATTTGTTTTATGATGTCTTTAATAATCACAATTTAATACAAACAAGCTATAAACATTATTGAACATTACTCTAATACACACCCCAAACTAAAAAGCTTACTTTTATTATACACTTTATAACCCTTTTAAAGTACGACATCTATAAAAGTCAAAATCATGGGCTCAATTGTTGTTATGATTTACAACATCGCCTTATCGCTATAAAAATCTCATTGGAATTGTAAATATTTCCAAAAGCTGTCATCTGACAGATCAAATTATTGTTTTGTGAGATTTATTTTATAGCTGTACTACTTATAAGGTGATTGATACTGTAACTTTAGAAACGTAAAATTTATTTGACGACTTTCATACGTATTTAATTATTTAGCTATGTACCTTACTGACATAATTAGTAAAACGTTATTATTGAATTTGTAGTTATATTAGCTGTGTTTTACAATCCAGGGAACCCTACTCTCCAAGAAATCCACGGAATCCGCAGTTACGGCCGTTTACTGCAGCTTGGCTTGTTGCACTTTGTAGTAAGACGCATAAATATCCTCAGCGTGCTAAGGATATTTATGCGTCTTACTACAAGATGCAACACACTCAGCCATACGAGAAGGTCTTCTCGAGGTGATGTCTCCCTTAACGCGATGTATTGCCCCTTAGTTAGCTTTAATGAAAGAAGCAAACCTAGAGCCTTTTCCGGTGTAAATGTATGATCTGGTTATAAACATTTCATTTATTTTTGTAGCTGATTCTAGATTCTTCAGCATATGTTCGATAACGGACGCAATATCCTCATTGCCTTGTTTTTTCAAAAGTACTGCAGCTGAGTAGGCCAATTCATTTGAATCTTCATTTTTGTGTTCGTCAGATCTTCTCTTCTTCTGTTTGTTTCCCAGATCTTCGAAGGGTTTTCGCAATCTTTTTATCATCGTGGTAACTGACGATGATGTCAAAGGTTTTGGAGAGATGAAATCTTCTATTGATTCCTCTAGTCTTGTACCTTGATTGAGCAAATTTGTTTGCACACAGCTTGGCCAATCAACATTTGCCTGAAGGTAATTCGCATACTGCTTTCTAAACGTGTCACTGTTTCGGTGGGATTTCGTCCATCTCTGTTCAACAGCTCGTGTGAATCTCCGACAAAATTATTTTAGGGTAACTCGGTCTTCGTCAGTAAGATTATCGCCCAGTCGAGTTGCCACTGCCCCACGTAGCACTTCGTTATTAAAGGAAGTGTTTTCGCTCTTGAGAGTAACATCAAGTCTGGATTGGTAGCAAAATTTGCTATTATAATATTTTAAGGTTACAGATGTTAGCAGTTGAAAAGTGTATGTTATGCTAAATATAAAACATATAAACATATTTTCTATCTATTTATTGTTGCTTATTGACCATTAAAATTAGTGAAGTGATTTGCAATTGTATGTTAATTATCTGCCGCTTATTAGGGCATTCCAAAAAATGCTCTGGCAAAATCTAAATCTATTGAAAATCTTGCATTTAGAACTTAATTACTCAGCAGTATAATTATAATTTGTAACCGTATCCTTACTCTGAAATATCACTTATTTAGGCTTATTAGTTAATTAATACGCGGTATTTTGACGAATTCCCGTGAAATTTAATTCGAAATACATTGTAATCACAGTTATCTAATGAAAAACGTTCATGTTTCGCATTAAAACTTGTAACCGAAATTTTTTTTATGTTTTTTAAAAAAAATCCGCGGTGTTTACCGTTATATGAAGTATGTCAAAAATCGCAAATAATTAGTACCGTAACCGTCTGTAAGGATATTACGGTTACCCTTGCGGTTCCAGAGGTATAATGATTTTTCATATCAGCTCCATACAATATTTTTGGAAAAAAATGTAATTAATCCGTTTTCATGCCAAACTAACTCGCTTGATAAATTTGAGCATAGTAATACAGAACCGAATCTATTCCAGCAAAAAAAGACACTTTAAAATAAAAGTCCCTAAGTCTATGAAAGCCGATTTTCAGCCTACTGTGCGGCGCTAGACCTAGGATTGCATGACAATGCGGTTTGACGATAGTTTCGTCTTTAAGTTGACGGACTTCGAGAGTAGGGCCCCAGTTCATTTAAATTGTAACAAACGTATTAATATTAAACTCTCAATTCTTTTCATACTAAAATACAAATCAATCTTCACGCTATATTAGGCCATCATTAAACCATCTAAAGTTGTGCGTAACAACAACTCGGTCAATATTTATGAACATCGATCGGAGGCGCTGTGGGCGATCCAGATCTAGACGCGGCATGAATTCCGTGTCACCACGTTGGATTACCATAATCGGCAGATTGCTGGGTGTTCTTAAAAATATACTTATTTTTAAAGGTGAATGTACTTAAATAAATCAAGGATTTTGCGTGTAGATCGTATTCGTAAAATGAAAATCAACTGCGTTGATGGGTATGTTCATTCATCATCAACCCGTTTATACTCCCCTTGCTAAGCTCGGGTCACCTATCAGGGTTTAGTCCATAGTCCGCCACACTGGCCCAATGCTGATTGAAACTTCACACGTTTTCCGAGGATTGTAAAACTTCTTCGACGTGCAGATTTCATCACGATGTTTTCCTTCAGCAAAAAGCTCATTGTAAATTTCAAATTTAACTTCGCATATAAATTCCGAGAAACTCAAAGGTCGGATTCGAAACCACGGCCTCTGCTTGAGAGGCGGTAGGTCAAACCATTAAGCTTAGGTAGTTGGTATAAATAAGCAAAATTACCTTCGGATGATACCGAAACTATTACTTTGGAACGAATCCTAGCACAGAGAGTTCACGTATTAAGAATTTAAAACTCAAATTTCATGATATATATGACTTCCAAAGACATGGACTAAAGGTAAAAAGTAGCAAATATCTTTACTATTAAATGCCTTATAGCAAAGTGACATTCGATTATCTGTCAATTATGGCTACATACGTTTTATTTGAAAACTTGTTATGTTGCTTATGTAATGAGATTTCTTTCTTTGTTATGGAAAAGTTGGTAATTACTCTGAATTTTTAAATCTATTAGACTCGCTCGACGATTGAGATCATTATAAACCTTTATCCATATACTGATTGATTATAGACAAATCTTCTCGTTCGGTGGCAAATAAAGACCATGAAAATAACAAAAACATGCTACACCTTGCCATTAGGTGAATTGAATTGCCAAATTCATCCTAGCACAATGTCTATTGCCTATTGCACTGTTGGTAATTGATTACATTTCCTGTGCCCACTAATGCTTTCAATTTTGTGCTACTCACTATACACACTCCGTTTTATGGGATGTTTTTGTCACTTCGCTTCCAATTCGGAAACTACTTTAGTTTTTAAATTTCAATACTACATTTTGGCCAATTAATTGTATATTAAAATAGAATAATTTATTAAAAATGAAACCTTGCACTGTCGTTGAAATTATGCTTTCTTTATCACCGAAAAGTGACAGTGTAGCGTAGGATGGACAGCTATGGGTAGCGTAGGTAGCCGATTCTTAAAATTGTACTACATACCTACATTAATTTAGTCCCGTTAACGTGATTGTATAGAATCGCTTTAGAAATATAGTTAATTTGCTTCTATGAGTAAATTTATATCAGTTTGCAAAGTAATATTCAGATAGTGGCTATCTACAGTTATAAAGGCGAGATAAAGTAATGTCAGGCCCTATTACTGGCGCCCTAACCGGAACTCTATTACCATCTTACGAGCCCAGAATAACTAGGGTAAGGGCTAAGGCATACGTGGTACGGAATAGTAAATATTGAGAAGTACGGGTACCTTTCGATCTCTTGTTATTAGCATTAGTCATTGACTTACAAATAAGTCAATGGTATTAGTACATACATTTTTAATTTTTATTGAATTGATATTCAATTGTTTTTTATGTGAAATTACTCCAATAGTTTGTTATAACTATTCATACAAAGATCTACTCTTAGACAAATTCCTTCGATCCGGCCGGATGCGAATCGACGTGTTCTGGCACGGTTACATACCCTTTTGAGAAATACTTATAGGATAGCTTTGAAACTGCACTGTAATTTGATAAAAAGTAACAGGTGAACGATGTTGGTCTTTTTTATCAAAAACCTAAGTACCCAAATGCACTACTTTTTATCGTGATTAGACGTATTAAATATAAGCTGGTACCTCTATAATTCACCGATTTTCTAATCACGTTCAAATTTAATAGCAGTGGAGCTCCTTGTAAAAGAATTCGTCCAGAGAAGTACTGCCACCTTATCAATTTCTGCCGCCAAGCGGTAATGTGAGCATTACTGCGATTCAGATTTGAAGGGTGCTGGTGAAATTATAGTCACATGGGACTTGT